TGTATGGCCTATGTGGGTGCCAGAGCATGCTGTCCAGCTGTACCAAGGACAATTCATTGTTAATCTCATGCTGTAATAAATGTATTCATGCCTTCCAGGTGTACTGTCTTCTACAATGCAAAACTGGGATTGTCTATGGTCATAGACCTTTTTTTTCAGATGCAGACATTTGCCTTTCTTTTGTTCTCCAATTAATTGTGATAGGAGGTTCATGCCAAGCCAACATGTGGTCACCAGTTGGTAATAATAACAAAAACTTCTGTAATCTATATGCTATAAATGCACCACTATACTTAGAGATGCCTGGACATTAAGTGGTCCAGACAATGTCACAAATTTCTTCAGTGACATCCTTGAAGTTCAACAAGCTAGGTAAAATCTTCTTATATATTAGATAGAGATGACTGAGTAAAAGAGCTACACTATGTCAAAATTGAAATTTAAGTATGTCACAAAAATATCATTATAATTGTCATGATATAATATCATGTATAGTTTTTATCTTAAATGTTCTATGTAAAATTATATAACTGTTGCCTATTAACATTCTACAGAGATTCAACTACTAGAACATCCATGGTTGCTAGAAAATAACAGCTCTATTTTATGTTTCAAGGTGCTTGATAGTCAGATAAAATAGTAATATTAAGCTCACTGCCCCCATTACAAAATTCTATGTCATTAACCTTCTCTTCCGGATGTTCACCAACTGAGATATTCAGGCCAAAAACTAGAAAGATAGATGGGCTAAGAGGACAGCCAATATTTTGGTCCCAGCCCTCAGAAGTCAATGAGGACTTGAGGAAACCTTTTCAGCAACATCTTGCAACTCTGGTGAGTTATACAAACTCCTGATCAAGGAGACTGTAGGACCATAGACGATAAAGAGCTTGCCCAAGGAGAGTATGCCTAAGGAGAGTTACTAGGAGAAAAGGGTCTCCTAGCTTTCACAAGCAAGCAACTTGGTCAAGCAATGACCATGACTGAACCAGACAGCTGACACTGACTGTAGAACTATACATGAAGTGCTATGAATGGTTCCAAGGTAAATCCTGAGGAAACTTGATCGACCTTGATAAATAGCAAAAATTAATTAATACAGGTCTACCTTAATTTGATTTTGAAAATCCAGACAGAAAAGTATAACCACAAGAGGTATAAAACAATTGCCAACTACACAAATAACTGATCATTCTTCTGGGATAATGTGTGTGTGTGGTTTTTTTCCAGTACTAGGAATGGAACTCAGGACCTTGCACTTGCCAGGCAGGCACTTGTGCCACTGAGCTATATCCCCAGCCCCTGGGATAATGTGTTTTATAAGATTAAATTGTTATATGCAGGGACAAAAAATCTTTGGACTGGGAATCTTTAGTCTGGATCGAGCAAGTTTATCTAGAATGAAAAGGGTTAAAAAATAAAAGAGGCTCATCCAAATCCAACTGAGTATCCATCACTTGTAAGCACAAAACAGAAAAGGGGCAGATGAGGGGAGTGGCTGAAGTGGGAGATCAGTCACACATGTGGGGCCAGAGCAAGGCCAGCCTCAAGAACACAGAGTGCTTGAGACAAGTCACATGAATAAACTGCACCACATTCAAGAACACAGAGCACCTGAGGTAAGTCACATAAATAAAATGCCCCCACCTCAAGAACATTGGGCTCCTGAGGCAAGCCACATGGATAAGCTGTGAGGCAGAGGGGCAGATTCCCCCTTTTCACATGACATTCAACCTCCCAAGTATATAAATAAGTGCACTGCAACCTTTGGGGCCCCTCCCATTCTTCCTCCTTCTCCTTCCTTACTTCTCCCATCAGGAGAGAGGGCTCCATTTGGTCTTAGTTTTTCTGTATTCTGACTCTTGTCCCTTTTTCTCCATCCTCTCACTGTCCTCACCCTAAGAACTTTGAGAGCTGCATGGGATGTAGCAATAAACCATACATATACACAATTTTTTCCTAGGGGACCAATTGAACATTTACCAGCACACCACAGCTTGTATGTAACCCTAACTAATGTTTATATATATATATATATATATATATATATATATATATAATATTGCATTTAACAATATAGATATATATGTATTAGATAGAGCTGTGTGTATTAGATATACATATTGTTAAATGCAGTGTCAAAATTATTATATTTCTACCTACTTGTAGGAAGTAACTAAAGCATTCATAGCAAATTCATGATCAGTATTTTTAAGTGTTGATTGGTTATTTCCTCTGGGTTCCAGTGAAACAAAAATGGATCTGTCAGATGACACAAAATGTAGAAAAGTTGATAGCTGCAGTTTCTTTTATTTGCCTGAATTTATGCTGGATAATTGATATTTTTTTGTTCACACATAAATGCTGAAAATCACAGCCACCTTGGAAAAAGAGCAGACTAAGAAAACATTGTGGATTTCTTAAGAGAATTGCCTGATGATCAGTCAGGATTTGGACTGATTAAAGTACTAGGCTTTCAGTGTGAATGTAGTTATTTAAATACAGTTAAAATTAAATAAAATTTAAAAAGCAGTACATTAGTTAAATTAGACACATTTTTTTTTTCTTTTTTTCTGTTTTTTTTTTTTCCCAGTACCGGCAATTGAACTCATGACTTTGCACTTGCCAGGCAGGCGCTGTGCCGCTGAGCTAAATCCCCAGCCCCTAAATTAGCCATATTTTAAGTGCCCCCATAACCACACATAACTACTTGGTATTATATATGGCAAGGCAGACTGTAGACCATTTCCATCATCTCAAAAAATTCTTCTGGACAGCACTAATCCAGAAAATTCACCCAGTAGACAATGCTCTAGGCTTCTTAACTCAGTGATCAAATTTTGCCCTTTTTTTTTTGAAGCTGAAAAATTCAATGAAATCAAGAATGGTTTTTTAGAACAAAATTATTTCACCATAATAATTGCATATTTGCATATAGTTAGATATTTTATTCAAGGTAGTAGCTAGTATTCAGTGGACAGCTCATGTCCCTAAAGTTCAATACCTTTGCCTTTTACAGTCAGGCAAACAGGTAGCAAAAAACCTTAACGCTGTGCTCAGAGTTTCAGACGCCAAAGTCCAGGTTCCATCTGGCACTGTGAATTTCTCTTCTCTGAACAAAAGTTGTGAATGGTGGATAGAAATTTTCAAATTCTGTCTAGATGACTGGAGGCCACTGTGTGGACAGGAAGTCAAGATGATAGGCACTGACTCTGTAGACTCTGAGCCTGCTTTAAATCCCAGCTCTGCCATTGCCTAGAGTGTGACATGAACAGATGATTTAAACTGTGCCTTGGTTTCCTCATTTTCTGATGGGCATTACTACCAACCCCATTTCAAAGGGTGGTTGGGCAATTTAATTAGTATTTGTAAGTCACTAAAAGAAAGCATGGAGCAGAGTAACTGCTAAAACAGTACTTTTATAGAAGAGTTGATATAAAAAAGGGAGAAGTCAAAGTGCCTTGTACTGTTCGTGGACAAAGTTTGAACCTTATTTCACCCATAGCACTCATTTAAGACCTGAGTAAGCTTTAATTTATGACCAAGGATGGATTATAGCACCCTCCCCCAATTCCTGCACAAATGTGGAGCTGTGTGACCTCCCAGAAGACCTTTCTGAATAGCGTGATTTCAAAGTATAAGGTTATGACCAGAGCTGCCTACTTCCAAACAGCACATGAAATAAAGTAGAGCCTTAACTGTATCTCATTAATGGCAAACCACCTCAACAGGTCTGGTTTTCAGTTTTTTTATTATTCGCCTATTAGTGAAGAAAAGGATAATTGAAAGCAGTAGGTTTATCTCTTGAATTTAAAATATTACTTGATCATCAATTATCTTCAAATACCCATATTTTCTACGACAACCACATGTTTAACCAGGCAGCTCATACGGGGAAGACAATAGCCACCGCTTATTGCTCACCTATCACATTACAGATGTGCCTCATGCGTGTCCCAGTCCTGCACGGCAAGCAGAGGAAGGCACATTTGAGAATACAGATTCATTAATAATTTGACCAAGGTCACACAGCTACTCAGGGGAAATAGCCTTTGAAACCAGGTCCTTGGGATCCTGAAGTCCAAGCCCACATGACCTGCTGCCATAAGTAGCAACGTGAACTAATAGGAAAGAAGCACAGAAAGAGGTGATGTATATTTCCTTACCTTCACTGCATCTGAACCAGAATTACTAATCACAAAAAAATACATTTAAAATGATATTAAAATATAATTTAAAATATTTTAAAATAAATATAATAAAAAATATAGGGTCCAGAGAAATCATTAGTGTCATTATCTAAGAACAAAAGAGCCTCAGAGTTGAATCTGGCAGGTAACCGTTGGCAAGGCAGTGCTGTTGAGCAGGTGTGGACTCAGACCCAGGCTGCTCATGGCTGCTATTCTCGGGGCTGTGTTGGAGAATTGTAGTCTGATTTACAATCCCTTGATTAGGAAAATAAATGTTTCATTAGGAGAGTGGGAATGCTGTGTCTGTGCACATGTGTGTGGCACAAGTAAATGCAAAGTTGTTTTGGGGATGAGAGCTGAAGCGGACCTGACCCAGTTTCTGGCCTATCATAGCATGATTGATCACCCCAAGGCCACTGCTCCATTCCAGTGTCCCATTATGAAGACCTGGTCCCTATGTACCAAGTCCTGCTCAGGCTCTCTTTTGTCTGTACTGACTCCTTACTTCTTGCCTCCTCTGCGCCTACCAGCTTGGCATTCTGATGGATTGGCTTCGCTGGCTCTCAACCCTCCCACTTTGTTCCTGAGTCTGAGGTTTGACTCCTACATCTTGGCACAGTGCTTGTTTCTTTCTGCACTCCTGGTAACCAAGCTCTTTGGCTCAACACCAGGACCCCCTCTTGTGATCCACTCAGCCAGCAGACCTGGAAAAACAGCTCACCATGCCAAACTCTGCACCCCATTCCCAACCCTGGCCGCCAAAAGCCATGCCCTGGATGTTACCTCACCAACCCCCGGTCCCTGGAGCACCTGTGGAATTCAACTGGACCAGCTCCAGCCACTGAAGTCTCTCCGCCTTGCTAATGCGTACTGTGAAAGGAGGTAAAAGTTCTGTGAGTGAGAAACAGCAAGTTACCAAGGCTGTTTGGGAGCATGTTGGCTGAGGTGACTGCCTTCTGGGCACAGAGCATGTCCATCCTGGTACTTTGACCAATATTGATTCCAGTGGCACAGGCTCTACCCCCAGCAGAGGTTCCCACAATTTCACTGAAGGCCCTGCCAGGCTACCAGGCTTATTCTGTCTCAGAAACACTTTCTGATCCTCCATGCTGCCCCTGCCAAAAGCTCCTAATCTTCCCATTCCTGGTGAGGCTGAAAAAATAAAAATGCAGTACCCAAGGACACCTGCCCACAAAAGCCATGCCAATATATGACAATCCTCAGAGGGATGGAGAGGTAGGTATCAACACTCTATTCCCTACCCCAATAGGAACAAGGGTCCTTCAGATATTATGTGGCTTGGATATGACTTGTCACTGGAGCATTTTCCTAAAATAAAAACCACCGTCAGTTCCCAGATGATTTGGTAGAGTACCTCTGAGAATCATTCATAGTTGTGTAGTTGATCTGTTCTGAACATTGTGCTGGGCCGGGGGTTGGGGGGACACAGCAGGTATCTGTTTCATGTAACTCACAAACGAACAGGGAAGACAGACATTGGAAAGTCTTGGGACCTTTTCAAACAGAAGTGCCATTCAGGAAAATACAGGTACAAAGGAAGCTTCTAGACAGAGATGAACCTGGCCTAGGAATGCAGAGAAGGCTTTGTGAGATAATGATGCTTTCGATGTCATCATTCCAGAGCAGAGTTAAAAGGAACTGGGACGGGAGGAGACATTCCAACAACCTGGAATAGCACAATGGAAGGGCCTGAGATAGAAGAAGAGAAATAGATAAGACTGAAGGGGTAGGCAGCAGCTAAAGCACACACAGCACCTTTTAGTCAAGGAAGAGCTTTTATTTTTATTTTAACTTAATGATACTAGGAAGTCATTGCAGAGTTTTGATCAAGAGAATGTCATGGCCAAATGAACTGTTCTAGGAGAATACTGAACAGTAGCTGGATTAGGTGCGCTGGAGAGAGGAAGTAAGCATGTATAGTGGATGTGGGGTGAGAGAAGACTGTGGTCCTCAGCGCAGAGGAGATGCTTGGAACCCAGATTTTCCCAGAGTTCCACTTGGATTTTGCTCATGAGAGTCCCTTGAGCCAGATATGGCAAGTGGAGGGGACATGCCATTTTTCTCCAGCAGTTGAGGTAAGCAAATTAAGGTACAGAGCTTCCAGACAAGCTCCTTCCTAAAAGTCAGCCTCTGCAGCATGCAAGCACTTAAACCCTAGTCCTTCTGACAGTTTAGACTTCCTGAAAGGCAGTAGCATTTTTCCCACCCTGATGACCCAGCCTTACCAAAACTATGTATGTCTTTAACCCCCTCTGTTAAAGCCCTTCTACTTGAAATACCTAGAGTGGTATTTGTTCTCCTTACTCAACCCTGGTTGTTAAAAAATCAGTAAAGAAGGACAAGAGCAAAGCAGGAGGTATCACAATCCTAGATTTCAAGTTATATTACAAAGCTACAGTAATAAATACAGCATGGAAATGGCACAAAAACCGATATGTGGATCAAAGGAACAGAAGAGAGGATGCAGAAACAACCCCAGGCACATTCAGCCCTTTGATATGTGAAAAAAAGGCAAAAAGCATACACTGGAGGAAAGACAGCCTCTTTAGCAAATGGTGCTGGGAAAACTGGATATCCACATACAGAAGATTGAATGTAGACATGTATCTCTCACCATATAATAAAACAAAATCAAAATGGATCAAAGATCTAAATATTAAAACAGAAACAATCTACTGGAAGAGCAAATAGGTAAAATTCTTGAAGACACAGGCATAGGCAAGGACCTTCTGAACAGAATACCAACTAGCCAAAATGAGTTATATCAAATTAAAAAGCTTCTGCACAACTAACAACCAAAGAATGAAGAGACAACCTACAGAATGGGAAAATATTTGTAGCTACTCCAAGGACAAGGGATTAATATCCAGAATATATAAAGAACTCAAAAGAAATTAGACCTCCAAAATAAAAGACCCAATCAAAAACAGCAGCAACTGAAATGAACAGACGCGTCTCAGAAGTACAAACGGCCAATAAATACAAGGAAAAAATGTACAACATCTCTGAACACTAGAGAAATAAAAATTAACACAACAATGAGATCTACTCTTATTCCTGAAAAAATGACCATCATCAAGGAATCAAATAATAACAACTAGTAAGGCTGCAAGAAAAAAAGAACCCTTTTGCATTTCTGGTGAGAATGTAAACTATGTAGTGCAAGCACTATGAAAATCAGTGTGGAGATTCCTTAAAAAAAACTAAAAATAGAAATTCCATTCAACCCTGCTATTCTCCTTCTAGTTATCTTCCTGAAAGATTTATAGGTACATAATGCAGTGATACATCCATAACCTGTTTATAGCACCACAACTCATAACAACTAAATCTTGGAAGTAGCCTACACATCCATCAACAGTAGATAAAGAAAATATGGTATGTGTACACAATGGAGTACTAATCTGCCACAAAGAAGCATAAATTTGAGTCATTTGTAGGAGAATGGCTACCTCCTGAGATCATAATGGTAAGTGAAATAAATGCGACACACAAGCATTAAGATTACGTGGTTTCTCTTACATGAGAAAAACAAAATATAAAAAGTTTAAAACACAAAATTAAAGATAAGTAATAGGAAATAGGGAGACAGAACTTTTGCAGAGGAGAAGAGAAATAAGTGCTAGAGGGAGGGGAAAGGAAGAAAAGGGGACAGGAGCATAAAAAAGAATTAAGATGTGTAAGGTATATATACCAATTCCACCATTCACTGTAACCACTAAGTACCGCAAACAAGTTTTAATACAATTTTTTTAAAAGAACAGCAAAGAAGCTCTTAGAACATCTGAGGTGAGCTATTACAGGAGTTTTGTCTGGAGTATAGGTAGTGTGCATGGAGAGAAGAGAACAGATTTAAGGAGTTATTAGGCAGAATCTGCAGGACATCATTGTTAATTGGATGGGGGATGTGAAGCAAATGAAGGAGTTAAGAATGGCCATACATATTAGGTTTAAAAGTTAGTTTGCCAAAGTTGCCATGCAACCCAGGAGGCTGGATGGGATGTAGACATCACGCTGCCCAAGTTGCCAGCCCTGCCCAGGCCTCTTTTCATATTGAAGTGTGAGGCCAAAGAACTCAGGGAGCCGAGTATATGAAGGTAAACTCACACCATCTGCCTGGTGAGAAAACCTATATGCTGGATGTTATTGGCCATCATAATGAGTTATCTTCTCTTTGGAAAATACTCCAGGCTGCTGCAGAGCAGAGAGAATTAGCTAAGCCTGCCTCTGTCCAAATCTCCTTCTTAAAAAAAATCTATTAGGGTAGTGACCAAGCAACTGGGGGTCAGAGTGAGAGCTGAGGGACCAGGGACAGGCAGGAGGTTCTTCATGGAGAAGACAGAGGGTGTGGGCACCGGGGGGGGGGGGGACCAGGTTGTAGTCCACAGGGCAATGCTAGGTTCTGACACCCGAGAGAGAAAGTTCAACATGTAGCCATGAGAAAAGCCATGAAAAGAGAGGACAACATAACTCACAGCATGTGGCAGTGGGCATGTATAAAGTGACCCTTTATATGCCTAGAGAAGCTGGGTGTTGAATTGACCACCCCACTAGCACCAAAGATTTAGGGCTCATTGGAAGCTGGGTGCAATGAAGGCCTAGATGGCTCAGGAGAACAGAGCACACAGCATTCCACTTGCCAGTCTTTCTGTCCAGTGGTCTTTTGATGACAGGAAGACCAGTCCCACTCATACACCAAGGCCATTTCCTGGAGTGATTTGTAAGCGCATTACTATAGAGGCATAGCTGTAAGTACACTTTGAATGCACCAAAGAGGAGAACAAAATAGCTTTAAGCTAATTACCTATCTTTCTTAGTGAGCTCTTCTCTTCTCAGATTGTAAGGAGGAGGTTGAGGACAAGATTCCTTGCTAATGACCCCCACAGAGCATCACTTAACAGCTGGGAACTGATTAGTGGATTCTAAGACGTTAGACGTTAGCCAGTGGGCTCCTGGCAACCTTTATCTATGTGTCTGTCTGTGGGGAGACACACCCAGAATCCCAACCTCGACCATCAGAATAGCAGTCCACAGCTAGAATGGGAATCTGCATCTGTGTGTCTGTAACATGCAGTAAAGAAGTGGGAAGCCTAAATAATGTCTGGCTTCATGCCTACCCATAACAAAGTGCTCCAAATAGACATTCTCTTACAATGCCACCTCCCAATACCCACCCTAGAGGGTGGCCTCTCTGCTCCCATTCTGCTACATTCACCTCATCTCCTTTGTCCTCTTCCTGCTTCAGAACCTAACTGGATCCCATAGCTCTCTTTCCTCATTTTCTGATCTTTCATAAATGTGGCCAGAGGTAAGAGCAAAGTCCTCACTGCGTTCTGGTTGAGTTCAAGTGGTGCCTTTCTGCTGGAAGTTTCTCTCTTCAACCCAAAGCCAGGGGCAGAAGGCAGAGCTACAGGGGCGGAAGAGCCAGGGGACAGGCGCTGCTCCATCAAAAGACAGAGACTCACTTCCCAGAAAGCACACAGCTGCAGTCTGCATGCGACAGGAAGAGAGGCGAGCCCTGTTAATTTTCTCTCCAAGCAGATTTCTGTAATTATTAGAACCTAGAAATGCAGATGTTAAAGGCCAGGGGCGTAAGGAGTTAGTTAAGTTTGTATAACTGCAGATAGAACATCTGAACATTTTCTGAAATTAGAATTAAGAGCCTTAACATAATACAGTAAAGAGACACTGCCAGTGCATGTGGCACAGTAGGGGGAAAAAGACAGTGATGCAACAGAGGACCCGAGCAAGCCATCTCCTTTAATCACACCACCCCAAAGATGACTATAGCCAGTCTAATATCCATCCTCTGCTACCAATTCAGTAAAAAAAGAAAAAACAAACGAAACAAAACAAAACAACCCACGCTGTTGGGGAACCTCAGTTTGACAACTGTATTTCTGACCCCTCTGTAATACGACTGAATAATAAAATACATGTAGAAGTCAGTAGGTAGAGCTTGTAGGAAAAGCTCCTTAAAGGGACTTTGCTCAGGTGGAAGGCCCCGTTTTATCCTTCCCCAGGAGTTACGGCAGCCATCTCGTTGAGACAATCTTGAAGATGGAGGCCAGAGGACAGTAGAACAGAAAATCAGGAATCTGTGACTCTAATAGCTCTACTGCTATTTGAAGTTACCTCTGGACTCTTTCCCTTCTGACTACTTGTACGTGATCAAAGAAGAAATTCCTTATGTGTTCAGGCTACTGCTACTGGTGCAGGAGCTGGGTGTTGGCTCAAATACAGCTCTCAACAGCTATATATAGCATAGATTTTCATCAGTTTCCTTATGAGTGGAAATTACAGGTTAATATCAGAACTAAATTTTGTGGGTAATTATTATATATGAATTCTTGCTTTAATGGTTGAATAAATTCTAGGCCACCAGTTCTAAGTACAACTTCAACCCTCCCTAGCTCATCTTTCTGTTGCCTTTATAAAGTAGCAGACCACAAGAATCAATCGATAGCTCCCTACCACAAGGACACCACCTGACAATTGATTCTAGGACCTTCTGAAGCCATAGAAGGGTGGAGAGAGAAACAGCTGTTTAGCCCATTTTATTCTTATCGGAGTGTACTTCACATTACGTAGCATGTTTTTCTGTGAAGCTTTTTCCAAGGGTTCATCAGCAGTAACAAAGAAAATAAGAAGGTTAAAAGGTCCCTTCTTTGCATGGCCTTTCTCAGTTCCATGAGCCAGCTAGTCGAGGAGAATCAGGGGGACCCCCTGTAGTGGTTTTAGGCCTCCTTCAGCTGTCCTCTGCATGTGAAGGACTCCGGGAACACTGAGGGCACGTTCAGTCCAGGCTAACCTGCTTGTATAGCTTGCATTATCACATAAATACAAAACTACAATGACGGCAGCAGGCATACAATTGATTTCCTATACTTAATATTACCTGCTCCTTAGTGCTATGCAATGCCTAAGAAGTGCATAAAGATCTTGAGTGCTATTACATAAGTATAAAATGTGATGCACTTGTGTGTGCTGGTGACTGCAAAGACACATTCATCGGTAATCTACAGGAAGACTTAGGCTACTTTGCAAATTAAAAGGAGACACTTGGGCCGCTGCTGCTACCGTGCTGACTGTGCAAATGGGAAACCTAACCTTCTATTTTGGGATTCTAAATCCACTACCTTCAGCAAATAATACCATCAATATTCTAAAGTCATATTTGGCTCCTGGTGAGCAGCGGTGGGGTTTCCCTGCCTCCTAAGTTCCTTCTCTCGGAGGTACCTTGCTCGCTGTGGTGTGCCTGTCGCATTAACCCTTGTCCTCTGAGAGCAAGTATGCTTGCCAAGAGATGGAATTCCTACCACCTCACCCCAGGCTTTGATTATAGCATCAATCCAAAACTGTTCTAGATTTTTTATAGACTCTGCTGAGCAGGCTACATCTCCTATTGGATGTAAAGCCATGTAGAATGGCATAAATTCTTCCTCACTGCTCAAATCAGGGGGGAGGGGTAAGAAGGGCATCTGGGGCTAGGGTATAGTGTGATGGCAGAGCACTTGCTTAGCCTGTTCAAGGCCCTGGATTTCATCCCAGGTCCAAAATAAAGGCATCCACCCACCTGACGGGCTGTGGTCATGGTTCTACACCCTGGGTAGTTCTGGGCCCTTTAAGGTCACCAGAGGTGCAGTTGGTTTGGACTAGACCAGACCTGGGTCCCAAGCACCAAAGAGTCACTTTTCCAGAACAGTGGGACTTGCAAAGCCCTGAAGAGCCAGAAAACCTCTAACCCTAGTGGAACTGTAACCCTCTCCTGAGAGTTCTGTTGCTCTTAGAAATGAAGACCTGGAAAGCAAGCAGGACAAGAGCTTCCAAAGCCACAGGTGATCAGAATGAGCGTGGGGGCTTAGAATTCTTGGGGGGAAGGGAAAAGCTGGGCTAAATATTCCCTCTCACTACCTGTAGGAGTCATGCCCCTACTTAACGAAAGAAAGCAAAGGAAGCAGCATCCTCTGAAAAGGGGCAAGATGGGTATCTTTAATTGGAAGCAAAGCGTCCCCAAATTACTTAATTGTAGGTTTAAAAGGGCCTTTGTGTGTATTTTGGTATCTTCCTGGCTTTCAGCAGGGTGGCACAAAGCCTTCCTAAAAAGATAAAGCAGGATCTATTTTTAAACACAGCCAGTGAGGGTGACTGGGTTCCTTTCCCTTTGTCAGACTGGGGAAGTTTTTCCTGTGTTGAGCTCGCCACAGGTGAACTTTTCTTCTTTAGTAATCCTGCACATTAGATTTTGGCTTGGTTTCTTCAGTGACGACTGTGAAGAGTCCAGCACCATCAGCCTGTTCTAAACTCAACTCTCATCCGCACATCCATATAAAACTGTAACAGTTAACTGGGACATTTGGATTCAAGTCAATAAATATGGAGCTAGATGCCAAATGACTGACTCACTGACATGGCAAAGAACTGCCGCCTGTCTTAGTGGCACTTTTTCCATTCTCTGCTGTCACCTCCTGGAACATCTCTCCCTTCCCCATCTCTCTTTCAAAAGGATCCACAGCAAATGTGTGCACTCACACTGTTAAACAGAAAAGCACCCCAGGAGCAACGAATTAATATGTAGACCTCACCGCCATATTCACATCAAGGGGTAACAGTAAAGGGCACAGCGCACTGCCTGGGCTTCAACCCTGGCTCTGAGATCTTTGACCCATTTTGTAATCCCACTATGTAAGCAGTTTCTCATCTGCACAATGCAGGTAATAATGGTGTTTGTCTCATAGGATTGTGGAAAGGAGCAGTAAGTTAATGCATGAAAAGCTCTTGCAGTGGGGTCTAGTACTGTGATCCTAAAAGCCAGGTTAGCTATTCTTATGCCCTCCTTGGAGCAAAGGGGCATTCCGAGGCAAAGCACTTGGCCTGATATCAAGCAGGCAAAAGCTTGATTAAAAAAAAAAAAAAAAAGGAGCAGGACTCAAGTTTAAAGGACATGGGTGAGCAAAAAGTGTGGCCGGGTGAAAGGGTAAAGGAAAAAGACAAAACACAAACAGGAAATAGAACAAAAAGTATAGGGAAAGGGCAAGAGCAGACATTCAACAGGGAAGAGGCAGAGAGGATCACATAAGGGAAAGCAGACAAAGAAAAAGAGTAAAGGGGGCATGACAGAGGAAAGAAGAGAGAAGGAAAACCAAGAATAACGCAGGATATGAAAATTTAGTTAAAAAATATCCCATTTGCAGCGGGAGCTGGGTATCAGGAAGGGAGAGGCAGAGCAGAGCAAATAAATATTCTGGCTATGAAAACAGGGAACTTTGGGGCAGAGGGAAAAGGGAGAGAGGAGAAAAAAGTAGTACTAGAAAAGGACCTCACTGGCAAGGGAGAAAAACGTAGTATTAGAAAAGGACCTCACTGGCAGGATGCTCTATATCTTTAAATTATAGGAAGCTTACCCACTCGCTTAACCTGCCCTTGACCTCCAAGGCTCCTGTCCCAGAGTCTCCCTTGCTTTACTGACTGCCCCCCGCGCCCCGACCCTTAGTCTCTAAGGTCAGATGTCTGCCTGTGTAGACATCTGCTCTTCCCACAAGGCCAACATGCAGAAATCCAATCTTTATTTCAATTTCACTGAATATTCTAGACATCATTTTTAAGTGAAACTGAGCTCTGGAGTATGCATTTACACCCTATTCCAAACATCAAGAAACTTGTAAAGAGACCTGCTATTTTAATTATTAAAATATTTATCTTAACAGCGCCCTGCCATCCACCACATTTTGGTTTTAAAAGCATAAAGGGGAGGGGGATGATACATTACTACAGGAATACAGTGTGCTAGGGTTCCAACTTGCCTTCCTCATCAAAAAAAAGAAAAAGAAAAAAAAAGAATTATTCAACTAGAAACAGAAGGCAAGTCAGATCGAGGTTTTAAAATAAAATCATTTTTTGTAAAAAGCGCTTTTTCAGTATTATTACTTTTAAGTTGTCTATTTGGTACACACTACATCCCCCAATCTGAGGAAGTCCAGAGACCTCAAAGGGTCCTCGGAAAGGGTCCAGGGAATCGAACCGGCCGCGGGCTGCTCCTCCCGCCGGGGTGAGCCTGGGCCGCGGCCGCCGCGCGAGTCACGAAGCCAGAAGCGGCGCGCGTCGCCGCCCGGGACTCGGGAGACTGCAGCAGGCGAGCGGCTCCAGGAGGCGGAGGAGACGCGACGCCCGCAGCCACGTGACCCCCCCCCGCTGCCTCCCGCGACCCAGATCCGTCCCCGGAACCCGCACCCTGCAGGGCGGGCCGGGGAGCGGGGGCGGGGGGGGGCACGTAGCGACCGCCCCTGTCCCCGCTGCGCTCCTGTGCGTGTACACGGGGCGTCCTTCTCCCTGGGCTCACGTGCCCCTGGCAGTAATTAATGCTTCCGAGATCACCCGGAGAGAATGTAAATATTACTTTTAGTGCGAGAAAAACCTGGCTTCTCTACACCTATTTGGATCTAAGATTCTATTTCCTCTGTCCCACCCAAGGCAGACCCAAGTAGCGCCTGCAGACAGAGCGGCAGTCCCGCAGGACACGCTGTCCCCCGGCCTCCCCGCCCCGCGCCGCCGCTGCCCGGGGCGCATCTCCCGACCCCTCCCGGGAACTCTCACTAGCAGTGAGTCACGCTCCCGGGTGGCGCTGGGGAAAAGCGGCCGGGCTGGTGCTGGCCTGCGCTTCCCCGCGCCGGGCGCCGCGGTGCAGGGCGAGCGAGCGCGCGCGCGCACGGGCTCCCCGCGCAGTGATGTGGCAGCGGCGCAGGTCGGATCACGTTGCTGGCCCTGTGCTGGTACCCGCTGGAGACAGGATTAAGGAGGGAGGCTCTGGAGGTGCTAGCGGTAGTAAACGTGGGCTCGGCACACTCCCGGCGTGGCTTATCGCACGGGGCTGGGGGGTGGGGATCGGAACAGAACGCGGTGTCACCCGAGGCGCAGAGGGGCGCGGAGTTGAGCGAGCGGGCGAGTGAGGAGTGCGGCGCCGCCTCTCCGCCGCGGCCGCTCTCGGGCCACCCCCGTCTCCCCCCCCACCCGCCTTCCTCCGGGAGCCCGAGAGGCCCCAAAACGTCGTCATCTGCCACAGTGATTAGTGGCACCGCAATTCCGGCTGCTGCGGGAAGTTTAGGTGACCCAGGGACACGGTGTCGGCGAGAGGCACTTGGAATGCGACATTTTGAACCCAGTGACTACGTTTTCATTGCTCTTACATCCTTCAAGGAGTGAATTTCAAGTTGCCCCGTTGGGGGGGGGGGTAACCTCCAACCCAGCTCCAAGGAGGTCCTCCTCCCCCGGGGCTCGGAGCGGTGAGCAAACAAGTCTCCCAAATTTCCTGGGACTGAAGTCTACCCACTGCGAAGCCTCTTTCTCCTGCCTTTCTCTAGTCCAAAGCACCAGCACAGGCGGTGGAAAAGCAACAAGCCACGTTCACGTTTTGCACCGTAACGCCGGCCGAGCCCAGGAAGCCCCGGCCGCCCCGCTGCCGGCGCCCCCTCCCCCACGCGGACTGCGTCGCCTCTGGAAGATGAATAGCTTGGCCGAAGTTGTTTTTCCTTTCCGGTGGCCCTGATCAGGTGTCCCCGCCCACTCCCGCCGCTCCCGTCTCCCGACGCCCCCTCCCGGCCCGGCCCCTCCTCCCCCGCCCCCCTCCGGGCTGGACCGCGGATGGTACGTTCCGCACGTGAGCTGGGTGCTGGTCTGGCCGGCGACGCGCGTGCCCTGTGGCCAAACACTGCCCCGAGTGAGAGCAAACTACCAGCGCAGTGGGGCCGGCGCGAGTGTGTGTGTGCGTGTGTGTGCGCGCGTGTGTGCGAGCGAGTGCGGGGGGTGGGGGACCAACTGGTTCACACTTTCAACACTGCACTGAAGAGGGAGAGAGAGAGAGAGACTGGAGACGCACAGATTCCCCCCAAGATCTCCCAAGGCTGCCGTCCCACAGATTATAGAGCAGAGCCCCAAAAATCGAAACAGAAGAAACGGACAGCGATTGAACATGGACGAAGGAATTCCTCATTTGCAAGAGAGACAGTTACTGGAACATAGAGATTTTATAGGGTAAGGTGCACGCACCCTTGTGAATATCTGCCTGGGCTCCGGTTTGATTTTTTTTTTCCTCCAGAAAGTGGTATGGAGCGGGTTAGGGCAGAGCCCCTCCCGGAATGGGTGCCTGATGCTGATTTCTGTGTTGCAGATTGGACTATTCCTCACTGTATATGTGTAAACCCAAAAGGAGCATGAAGCGAGACGACAGCAAGGTGAGTGTAAGTTTCCGATGTTTCCCATACCCTGCCTGGATAGTTAATTAGGGCCATTGATTTCACAGTGAAGCTCTGCCCTCAAATATATTCTCGCCCCTGAGCTTCTCCAAATGTGAATTTTAAGTGGCTTGCTGGATACTCTCGAGGGGATATTAAGCATCATACTTGAATTTAAATTGCAGTTCAGAACAGTCCAGAGCAAAGAGGTTTCTTGGGCATAGTTTATCACATAGTATGGGGGGGGGGTTGTTACAGCCACTGAGTGAATGTTTAGCTGACTGTTTTCTCTTTTCCACCACTCACATTTTAAGGATACCTACAAATTACCGCACAGATTAATAGAAAAGAAAAGAAGAGACCGAATTAATGAGTGCATTGCCCAGCTGAAAGATTTACTGCCTGAACATCTGAAATTGACAGTAAGATGCACATTTTTCTTCTTTGCTGCGCTCCTCCAAGGGCATGTTAATAGCCTGGTAGGACTCCCAGAGATACAAGAATAAATGTAAATATTAGAGGCCTGACGTACAACTTGTGCTATAATGTAGAGAGTTTCCCACAGAACTGGGGCAAGAAATCATTTAGGACCGTCTTGAGGAAAGCCCAAGAAGTGTTAAGAATAGTACTTCTTTCAAAGTGTTTGCCTAAGTTTCTGTGCTGAATGGAGAGCCAATCAAGCCCAGTGTGTGTTTCCAAGTAACCAGGCGCCCCCTTCTCTTTTGCATGCTGCAGACACTTGGGCATCTGGAGAAAGCAGTAGTCTTGGAATTAACTTTGAAACACTTAAAAGCTTTAACAGCCTTAACCGAGCAGCAGCATCAGAAGATCATTGCTTTACAGAATGGTAAGTCCGTTCAGGGGAGCGATAAAGCGGGCAGCCCACAGGGTAACAGTGTTAGGAGCCCCCCCGCCTTTCCTGGGCTCACTCTCACTTGTGAAAATTGCGTATACTTTCCCTTCATTGGAGAATGCCCATTTCCCCTAAGCATCCTAAAGGCTGGGAGCAGAACTCGGGGGAATCAGATTTATATTTAAAGTAGCGGTGGCGCCCTCTCCACTTGGGTTTTTTAGCTGGAGGAAGAGCGCCCCCCTCCCCGCGCTGCTCCCTGGCCCCGCCACCCCCTCCCCGCGGCAACCGGTGGATTGTATCACTCGAATACTGAGGAAAAACCGAGAGCACTTTAGTCAGTGCAGGGCCCACGTGACAAGCAGATGTTTTAACGTCGGTATTTTTCTCCTTGCCTGTATTCCTCGGTGCCCCACCCCCACCCCTTGTTCACCCCAGGGGAGCGATCTCTGAAGTCGCCCATTCAGTCCGACTTGGATGCTTTCCACTCGGGATTTCAAACATGCGCCAAAGAAGTCTTGCAATACCTCGCCCGGTTTGAGAGCTGGACACCCAGGGAGCCGCGGTGTGTGCAGCTGATCAACCACTTGCACGCCGTCGCCACCCAGTTCTTGCCCACCCCCCAGCTGTTGACTCAACAGGTTCCTCTGAGCAAAGGCGGTGGCGCTGCCTCGGCCGCCGCCCCCGTGGGGTCCCTGGAGCGCGCGGGGCAGAAGCTGGAGCCCCTCGCCCACTGCGTGCCCGTCATCCAGCGGACTCAGCCCGGCGCCGAGCTCGCCGCCGAGCACGACACGGACACTGACAGCGGCTACGGCGGCGAGGCCGAGGCCCGGCCGGAGCGCGAGCAGGGCAGAGGCGCGGGGGCGAGCCGCGTCACGGTCAAGCAGGAGCCGCCCGGGGAG